CATATGCTCGTAATGCATGCAACAATGAGGTCATGATTATCTTATTACTCATTGACTATGATAACATAACAGACCAAGTTTGCACGTCATCCTCCCAATTTTGAGCTTTCTAGCTAATACAAAATGAATCTAAATGCTTGGACTTGATATATTCTTGTAAAACTCTGCATTACTAGAGTGATTATGTGTGATCATGTAGCAGAACTCTTACTATAATGTTTAGACTTATAAATGTTAGCTAATATAGTTGTTATATAAACTTTTAGTTTCCATAAATTGGTAAATGTAATTCACGCGAAATTATGTATATTAAATATAGTTAATACTCCGTATTTAATATGAGTATATTAAATATAGTTATATTATATATAACTATATTTAATATAACTATATATTGTTATATTAGCTATAGATTCAAAAGTCTATAAACTTATTTAAAAGTCTAGTGATGAAGTATATTCTCATATACTTTGAGGGTATCAAGATTTGAGGACAAGCAATCTCGAGAAAACACTAAGTACAAAATTACCGCCGAGGCTGAGCTCACACCCGACGAGGTCTGCTCACAAGTCAGTTCTCATATCATCGAGATAAGTCCAAATTTGCAGTTGAGCCCGAATCCGCCGAGGTCGGTTCCCAAGTCAACTCTCAATTATCAAGATAAGTCCAAATGTGCATCTGAGGTCGGGCTTGCCACCCACTTAGGCCAACATCAAATTCTGGCACCGTGACCGAGCTTGAAATCAACCAACGCCCCACGAGGTCAAAGAACTAAAAGGAGCATTAATTACTTTGCACAAGCAAACTGGGGTCTTCCTCTTCTTGAGTGAATGCACTACCCCGGAGCTCACTGGCCTCGCGGGAGATTGTGGACTTAGCTAATTTCAGTACTCAATTTCCACGCAAGACTCCGACTATGTCATCAACATGACAACTGTCTATGGTTTACATCACTCAGGCGGTTAATTGGTTACACACAGAAGATTCAAGGCCTACATGTGTTGCTTAGCTTCCTCGCGTGGCCCAATACAAAAGGAATCAAATCTGTTGCGCATAGTACAATCAGCCAGTTGTCTCCATTCTATTTCCAATCAAGCTTTAATGCTTTATACATGTCGCCATGTTATTAGATTAGCATATTTTTACTTGGTGCCCAAGTATTACATGTGTGGCCATATTATTAGACTAGTATATTTTTACTTGGTGCCCAAGTATTTCCTTTACACTATAAATACCAACTTCCCACTTATGGAAAGGAATCATCATTCTTATGTTCTATCTTACTGTTACTCTACCAAAATTCCTACTTAATCTATACTTAGCACTTTTTAGTGTCTCCTCTCTGGTTTTCCGATACCCCTAGGGTCGGTAAAGTCATCAAATACATTAAAAAAAACTCATTCATAAAAATTAAAAAATCTATGAATTTAAAAGTTTACAGATAAAAAAAACTACCACACATCAGTAAAACTCATTCATAAAAAATAAAAAATCTATACATTAAGTCTATTAACTTATTTAAAAGTCTACAGATAAAAAAAATTACCACAATTCATGTACAATACACCTCTTTAAATATATATTCAGAAATTGTCCTAAATAGGAGTAAAAACGTTTTGTAATTCCAAAATAGGACTATCATGTTTTTTATTCCTTGAATAGGAGTAATCTGCCAAGTTTGAAAAAAATGACATGTTTAAAAGCCTAGTAATGCCAAACTTGGCAGAAATTTACTCCTATTCAGGGAATAAAAAACATGATAGTCCTATTTTGGAATTTCAAAACGTTTTTACTCATGTTTAGGGAATTCTCTCTTCATGTTTCTATTCTTCTGTTTTCAGGATTTTGACATGGATTTTGCCAATTTTCATACCTCTATTTTCACATGTACTAATTTCTAATTTCTTAGTAATTGAAATTTTTTGATTTTCTGGATTTTTGAATGATGTCATGCGATTTTGCCATGTTTATGGCATAAATGTACACTAACGATCATATAATTGCAAAAAAGTCTTATGTAAACTAGTTTTTCTGGTTCTTTTTCATCAACTTCGTATATGTAATTTAATTTACAATTGTGTTAGCCGGCTTATTCAATTACAATTTAGAATTTTCAAAACATTCAGTTATTCATTTCATGTTTTTGCCAAATATATGGCAGTTTTGTGTTACTATTCCAAGATAAATCTGTCAAATCTGTGGCAGATTTGAAATTCGTGTTCATGGCAGATTTCAAATGAATATCAAGGATTAAATTTGTCAACTCTATGGCAGTTTTTTGAGCCAGAGTTGTGACGATGCTCGGAGGTCAAGTTTCCACTGATGGTGGTCGGAGGATGATGGCAGCGGCGGCGGATGGTTACTCTGGTGTGGGAGGAGGCGACAGGCGGTAATGGTGGAGGCATATAACACCGGCAAGGGAGGCGGCATGCGGCGGCGAGGGTGGCGGTGCATGCGATGGTATTAGCAAGCGGCGCCACTGAGGGTGGCGGCAAGTGGTAACTGCATTGAGGTAGGTTGTAGTTCTCGCGTGAAATTTAAGCGTTTCTTGAATTTTAATTTTACATTTTTTAATTTTAAATTCAAATAAAAACTGAACGAGGACATTTTTGTCCAAATAGGTGAATTTAAGTCCTATGAAACATAGACTCCTTTTTAGTCCTAAATAGGTGATTAGCTATTTAGCTCAATAAGAAAACACAGAACATAAAATTGAAAGCCCATACAAGCAGGGAATAACACGTGCGTGACCCACAACTTTTATGCAATGTTTTCTCATGATGGTTCCAAAGAATGATCTCAAATGGTGATCATCTCTTGTATAAGATAAATAAAGAGCGGACATAGTATTTATCGTGGAAACTAAACCGGTAAACCATGAAATTTTTTAAGTTGTGTCATGGGTTTGGGCCGGTCTTTAAGAGCAACTCCAACAAGCACCAAATCCTACACCAAAATGGTGGATTTGGCAAAAAATTGCTCCAATAGTCACACCATCCCCTACACCATTACACCATTTTGGAGGAGAGGCTTTTGCTTTACACCAAATATGGCGTACACCATATCTCACACCATCCTCTTTTTTATTTTTTTTTTATTTCAAATGTGTCCCAAAGTTTTGATTGTTATAGTTTTGACCCATTTTTAAAACAACAAATTAGTATGTTTTTACTTGGACTGAAATTTGTTGGTCTGCTCTAGTTTGGTCTGATTTGGTCTGGTCTGGTCTGAACTGATGTGGCCTGGTCTGATTTCTTTGTATTTATATAACTACCCAAGTCTAATCTAATTCGGTCTGATCTGAGACAAATTAGAGTTCAAGTAAAAACATTCTTATAGAACAACAAATTAAAATTATTAATTTGATAGAAAAAATATAATAAAATTTAAATCACACGGTATTATAAATAAAGTTTCAAATCCAAACAACATAATAACAGAATATTAGTTTGTATTTTAGTTTGTATGTGTGAAATAATGTGTGAAATGTCAAAATATTAAATGAGGGGCTAATGTATAAATATATGATAATTAGATACTTAAATAGAAGAATGGTAAAAAGTTAGTAAAAAGAATAAAAAGAGAATATTCCTTTTGGGTGATGAAAATGGTGTAAGCTGTTGGAGATAAAATACTGTTTGATGTGATGGCTATACTATTTTAGTGTAAAAAATGGTGTAAACTGTTGGATATGGCCTAAGAGTAGAATAGTATAAGAGTGCAGGGGCGGACCCAGGAAGTTTATCTTGGGAGGACGGTAACTTTAAAAAAAATTGGGAGAGCGAAAATTATTTTTTGGTATATATATACACTAAAAAAAAATTGTTGGAGGGGCCACTATCCCCCTGGGTCTCTACTACGGTCCGCCCCTGTAAGAGTGGGAGCTGAGTGAGGAAAGGAGGGGAGGATTGGGACTGGGATTTGGGAGTGCGAGGCTACTTGAAGTGTCTCATTGTATTTCCGTTTCTGTTTATTCTCTACGGTTTCTATCATTGCTAGTGTTTCAGGAATTCTGAGATTTCTCTCAATTCTTTGCTTAATATACACGAATTGTCTGGTTCCTATCACATGTACATATTACAAGCTTCTTGGGAAGCCATCAATGGATGAATTATCCTTTAGGATGAGCCTGTGGTGCAAGGGTAGAGAGAGCATATATAATGTATTCTGCAGTTCTCTCGCAGGTTGCCTCTTCCGTCTTGGAGTCGTGTTTATGTAGGTGCATGTGTGACCAAGGGGTAGAACATGCATGGGTTTTGTGTCTCATTGCCGTACGTATAAGGATTGGTGTGGGCCTCAGTGTGCTTCTTCCATTATTGACACTGACATAAAATTGTGCAGCTATGTTAAATGTCTCATTTGTGATTATCACCCACAGATTAACACTGGGAATTAAAAATTGTTATTATGACACTCTTAATCTATGAAATACTTCTTTTAATTTGCTTATGCATGATATTAATTGAATGCGTAAAATAGATGTTGTTAATAGCTTTATTTGTTATATTTGATATTTATGTTTGTGGTGATAGAATGACCCTTGAAATATGCTTTGCAGATCCTTCTAATGGGCTAGTCCATACAAGCAAGCCTGCATTTTAACAGTTACTCGTAATTCTTTGTCTCCGTGTGTTTTCTCTCTTTTTTAGCAATAATCACGACGAATTCTGCATTGGTTGACCAGAAATACCGAGTGTGTTTTCTTTCTCTTTTTGAGCATAAATGGAAATATGAGGATGTTTTCAATTGAAAGGAAATTTTATGTTCTAATCTGATCTAATCTAGTCTATTCTGCATTGGTCTGATAGATGTCTGTTTAATGTGTATTTTACAACTATCGAAGTTTAATTTAATGTAAACAGCTTGTCTTGAAATGAAAAGATTTTAGTTAAGAACATCCTAGGAGTATGCTGCAACAACGGAAGTACCACTGGTGAGTGGTGACTTGTTGCCTCAATAACACCCAAAGATAATTGCTAACACCATGAAAGAAGATTTAACATCGATTCCATGCTGCAATGCTATTTACAGAATTATATCTAAAATCCTGGTAGCTAGAGCGGATACATTATAGAGAAAATGCTACAGAGGCTCAATAAATGGTGACTTTTTAAAATGAAAAAAAGTTCAAGGATACTCCTAAAATGACATATTATGTAAATGTATTTCCAGATATACATCACCTGATTACCGTAAGAACTAAGCAACAGATATAGAAATTCCCACTCGAGGAAACAGCAAATTAATTTGAAATGAATCAAAACTCAACTAAGTTATAAAACTAGGAATTTGTTGGCTCCCCACAATGTCATTCGAAGAGTCCAAACAAAAGCTATGAATTGCTGAACTAAGTACTCCAAAACAATAAAACGTCATTCTCTCTTTTACGCCCTCCCCCTAAACAAAAACCTCAAAGAGGGAGTTCTAGTATTTCAAAAAAAGGAATGTGGCCCCTTAATTTTTGGTACTAAACAGGACCAAGAAAAGCCACTTTCAATGACTAGATAAAAAGAAACTTACAGTACTTGAAGTGAACACTTCCACATTGAGTGGCTCTTACCAAAGGTGAGAGCCATGAGGAACAAGTTCCTGCATAAGGGAGAAAAAATATCAGTGGTGTTTATTAAAAGGCATGACTGGCTCAGGGAGAAAAAAAATTTGGGCACTTTTTTACCATATGACCCTTTAGTACAAGTTACCTCGAAATAATAGGAGTTATTACAAAGGTTCTCATTGCAAGATTTCACAGTGACCTCCCGTCTGATAGCAGGATTAGTAGCAGCCCTTGGACTCTTATCTATATTGTCAATATTGCTTCGCGGAGAAACTGAAGGCAGTGTACGCCAAAGCCAAGATTCTGTTGGTGACTTAGGTAAGGGTGGATATGAAGATTCTTTACTGCTCCTACTTATATTTTCATTCCTATGAACAATTTCCAATTCTTTTAAACCTTGTTGCTGATTTATCCGCTCTTGATTCATGTTTTTTGAACCTTTTCTCCTTTCTGAGATACCCTTCAATTCTTCTGGAGGTTTCACATGACTCAAAGTTTCGATAACCGCCTTGGTTTTTGAAGGAAACGAATCAAGACTGGGAGTTTTCACATAATTCACAGAATCTACATATACTGTTTTCTCAACCACGTCGATGGGTGAATTTGATGCTCCTGTGTGCATGTTCCGTGTCGGAATGTCATGATGATGATAACCACCTTTGAAATTCTCCAATTCTCTTGGTACCCCGAGAAATCTCGTCCGGTCACTAGAATGAGATGAAGAAGCGAAATTCCGGACGGGAGATGCAGTGGCACTTCTGGAGTGAGACAACTGGTTGGATATGTTTCTTTTGCCCACTTTAAATAGCTCCCCAGATAACGCCCCAGAATGAAATCTTTGCTGGGAGGTTGAATCACTAGGCTGCTGTACAGATAGAGGATTTTTACTATCTATCCATTCAATTGCAAACAAATAACTTGTTTTGAAAACATTTTCTTGGAAACTGTTTTCCAGGAAAACATTATTTCACTTTTTAGACAATGAAGTAGTTGTAGTTCTATGTATAAAATGGATATATTGTTTAATCTACAAAAACAGGTTGGATATGTTTCTTTTGCCCACTTTAAATAGCTCCCCAGATAACACCCCAGAATGAAATCTTTGCTGGGAGGTTGAATCACAAGGCTGCTGTACAGATAGAGGATTTTTACTATCTATCCATTCAATTGCAAACAAATAACTTGTTTTGAAAACATTTTCTTGGAAACTGTTTTCCAGGAAACCATTATTTCACTTTTTAGATAATGAAGTAGTTGTAGTTCTTTGTATAAAATGGATATATTGTTTGATCTACAAAAACAGGAAAATAAATTGCTGGATTTTCACAAAAGTTTGCTAGACACAGGAAAATCTTTGCAGGCCTGCATTTTCCAGGGAAGAAACGAAGCCCAAGTGAAAATGGATAATGAATAAATAAAGATTCATCAGGCTGAAATGATCGTTTTTTTTTTTTATTTTTCTTACAATAAAAAGCATTTGGCAACATCCATTTCAGCAAACTAAGTATGTCAAAAGCTGCTCAGTATGCAGCACAAGCTAGATAATACTGCCACCAAACAAAATCTACATGTTAAAGAAATCAAAGTTTCTACCTTTCCAAGAGGTCCACTATAAGCTTTTCTGGACTGGCTACGAGATCTGCCAAGAAGAGTATTTCCAGTCTTTCTTCCAGGCCCATTTATTAATGATGGGGAGGCCTCAAGATTTCTTATCTTTGGTCCCTCAGACGAACTCTTAGCTCGAAGCCGATGGAAAAGCTTCCAAAACTTATGTGGCCTTTTGTGTTGATAACTAGTCACTTCGTGTTCATCGTACTCAATGGCTGCATCATCTGCATACTCACTGTAATAATAATGCCTTCTTTCCACTGCAACTGACTTGTTCTTCACCAACTTTGGCTCCTCAGTGACCACAACCACAGCCTTTGATTCACGTATGGAACCAGCTTTCAATTCACGTATGGAACGCCTCATCATGAACGCATCATCTAAGCCTTCCTCCTCTGAATAAGAGTAGTCCCGTCTTTCCGCATCAAACTCCCCTTTCGCATACATACGCTCTACCAAACTGTCCAGTAAAGCACCGTGATCTTTGAATGGAGTGATGTCATTAGATTGGGACCTGGAATTTGGTTTCCTACCCAAACGGAGCATATTCTCATACCGGTGCACTTCACCTCCATTTTCACCTCTGGGTTTTCCGGGGGCTTGTTCCCAACAAAATGGAACTGCAAGTGTTTTGCTTGTAGCCTCAGTCAACTCAGGATCAGGTTGCGGGGCAGGAACGGACTGCTCTCTATTGTTAGGCAGTGGGTTTTCGATGTGCTTTCTACGTACTCTCTTTGATTGATGACCACTGTTGATCCTCCTCCTTACTGATAGAAGAGGGGCATTGAAATTAAGCTTTTTTCTCTCCATTGTTACCACTCAGACAATCATCCCTGATAGAGAATTGGATGTTAGACCATTAACAGCTTACTGCAAACAACAATTCGAGAAACAATGCCATAAACCAATGTTATGTTGTAAATTTAATACAAAGCTGAATCATTTTGAAATATTTTCGCTTAATGTTTGATCGATGTGAGATCAATCCTTGAGTAAAACGAAAAAGGTGCTGCAGCCTGCAGGGTTATCCATTAATTTTTTAATTTACAAAAAAAAAAGACAGAAGCACTTCATAGTCAGAGATCTTAACATAACACATGCGAGCACACTTGACAAGAAAATCAGGGGAAACAAAAGGCTTTATTGATTCTTTACAATATATAGAGAGTGCAGGTTACCCATAAACCGAAGTGGATGTATCAAAAAAGCTTTATTGATTCTTTACAATATATAGAGAGTGCAGGTTACCCATAAACCGAAGTGAAGCTCAATGAAATCCCAAGATTTCTTTCTTTTTTAGGCACACCTTTGAAAGGAGAGTACGAAGGAGTTGTACGGCGCGTGGGCGATTCTTGCCCCGATTGAACGCGAAAAAGAAGGTGGAAAATTGGAGAGAGGCCAGTTGTGCTTTGCGTGCGTCTTTTGAAGCGAAAACTGAAGCGGACGGGGCATGGCTTTGCGCAAACAGGATCAATTAGGGTGCGAGATTTACGGTGCGCAATTATTTCGCGGCAACTTATGTCGTTCCACACGAAAAAGAAGGGTTGAGAGATCGCAAATGGCGGAAAGAAAAGACGGGGACACCATAATATCAAGTCTGGAGTAGCTTTGAATTGATTTCTTTATTGAAAAAAAAAATGACACTCCATCCAGGCCCCCAACGACAGATAGAGAGTGGGACTCTGTCCGCAGACCTAACCCTTGTGACACTCCCTTTTTACGAGTTGAGCTACGTCCACCAGTTTGATTTCTTTATTGAATTCCCCGGGAGGTGTTTGGTAATGGGTGGCTGGCTATCTTTAATACCAAGTGAATCATTTTTTTAATACGTATCAACCGCTAATCCTATGACATTAATTTATTTTAGGTTAGAAATTTATAATATTTCATAGAGATACGTTATTTGACAAAAAATCACTTTGTTTAAATGCATATATTTTTAATCGGGGCACCTCCACTCTTTATGAGACTCGCAATTTATTGAAGACACCTATGTGAATTCTTTCATATTCTAAAAATCTAGAAGTTCCGCATTCATAATTTTATAGATGGAAATTTATTGATTTGGTCAGATATAAACTAACATCCTTTATATTTGATTTAGTGTTATTTCAGAAATAATTGCATACTTCTTTTATATCACTAAAGAAATCTTGTTTACTAAAAATGTTACCTTTAAATATAGTAGTAACTTAGTCATAGTACCTTATACTCAATTTTACTGTCAGATTATACTGTAGTCCTAGTACTTTATTTTATTTGATATAAACCGCATTTATCATTCATATTTTATTTAATATTGATATTGCATGTTTTTCTTCAAATCCAATCAAAATGGATCCAGTATAATTTTTTTGAACACAGTAGGCAAACCACCCATTAGTGGGGTAAATATCGGGTAACATTTATCGTGTTTTATTAATAAAAATACAAAAATAGAGAGGAACTAGACCAAAGCACACCTTCTCAAAATACAATGAGACAAAATAAAAGCTAATGCTAAAGCAAAATAAAAGCTAATTTATTTCTTAAATAATTTGATTTTATTTGATTTGACCCTATTATTATATCTGATAAAGGAAGCAGTTAATACTTTAAAAATTACACTATATTTTGTAGAGTTTAAAATGCATGTGTATTATAAAAAACTAACAAACTTTTAAATAAGTTTGACTCTCATTATGGGATTAGATTTAATTCAATATTTTATATGCAAAATATCACATGTACCAATATTGAACTCATAGTTTCAAAAGTCTTCAAATCGTTATAGCATTTTGAAAATTGTAATAATACTGAGTTCATATTTTAAGAGTCTTCCAAATTGATTGGTAAAGGAAATGTCATAAATTTCAAAGCCTTCCTTCTAAAAAGATCCACTTTCACACATGTGTGTGTGAATATATTTTACAATGATCTATTTTTTTATTCACGCCACACGCACACATATATAATTAGGAGCAAATGAGAAGAATGTTTATTGTAAGAAGTGAAAATGCATCTGACACTAGGGGTGAGCATCGGGCGGGTTCAGGTCGGGCGGGTGGGTAAACCCAAGACCCTTTTGGGGTTCGGTTGTGTAATATGGATACCCTACCCTATGTTTTTTTACTTGTATATTTTCGGGGGGTTTTGCAATTCAGATAGGGCGGGTTCGGATCGCGTATCGGGTTAAGTCGGTTTTATTTTCACAACTGTAATTCTGTAAATCAAAGTGTAAATCCACTGAAATTGCAAAAAATAATTTGATTCTCGTACAAAATGTGAATATGATACTAGATGCCCAGATTACCTAATTACTTAATTACAAGTCATTAAGTAACATAGAGTATGGAGGGGATCAAAATTGTAACATAGATTTTTAGCATACATTACTTAATTACAAGTCATTAACATCCAAAGTGGCAAAGTTCCAACTAAGCAAAATCAATACATCCACTCAAGCAGTCAGGCTCCTTGCTTGAACATTTGAAATTCCACACTTCCACAGCTATTTTCCACACTTTCAAGATTCCACCTGCATATGTCTCTACAATATAATAAAGGTGAATGAAGGTAAGCTTGTATTGGGTATAGATATTTTGTTGGTGGTCCTGTGAGCTGTGTTGACATGTACATTATGCTTAAATTTTGGTAAACTTTGCAATTTGTCTACCTTATATCTCCCGTAGAGTATGGTGATTCCGTCACTCGGCTACCTCCGTTATTGTAACACCAGACCCGAATTTTACTGTGAGAAATTTTTTTCATCAAGTACTGGGTTAAAGAAGGTAAATCAAGGCTAAGAGTAGTCTTGATAAATGAGAAAGTAAAAATTTTGTCTTAAATTAATAAAGGATTATTAATTTAGACGTGGGGACCACTCATGATATTTCGAGTTTATAAAATATTAATGTTTATCAAAATGATACTATTATGATAGTATGGATGGTTCCTGGACCCCGGTAATATAAAGAATGACAACTAGACGGCCAAACGGGTCGGTGTAACTATTCGATAATTGTGAGTCTTTGATTATCGGACTGATAATAATTCGGAAGGCTACGAATTAATAACAGAAGGAATATAAATATTTTAAGAACCCAAAACATGGGATGATGGATAACAATGAGCAACTTGACATGTTAGAGGTGGGTACTTTTGGAGGACCCTACCTTGGAGATATTTTGTATAAGAATAAACAGATAAGATTTTGTCTGTTCATACAGTTCGGACCACTTAAAAATAAGTGTAACATTTTATTAAAGTGTCACCAAATATGAAACCACATATTAAGTAATGAGAAATGACGAGTGAATTTTCGAGGCAACGCGTTCTTATTTTTACTGTTACTTCAACAGTAAAATACACGTTGGGCCCACACGTGGGCGGCGACCATCCGATATTTACGGACCACATATTATATTCATCTTGGTTTAGATAATATTTATATGATGGTGTAAATTAATGTGAGCCATAAAGTTGGCCTTTCAATCAAACGAGGTCCCATCATCGGTATAGTTAATTAATCAGATAACAGCCCGAAATAAATTCCGGGGACCACTAAATTGAAGTTGGGTAATATATATTCATTTTAGAGTCCAATATTAATTGGAAGAATGATATATATTTTACTTAACCCGATAAAATAAAATATAATTAAAACAGTCCAGAAAATACAACTTTCGGGGCCGAATGTACACTTCGGGACATATTGGGATGACCTCCCACCCGAGTGGGGGCCACCCCACGTTTTTTAGTCTAAAAATAAGTGATGAGATTATGAGAGTGAGGTGTGTGATGTGTGAGGGGATGGGAGAGACACACATGATAGGTAAAGGGACCCTCCTCCCATTATTATGGCATGTGAGACCAAATAGGAAGGTCTCCTCCACCTCCCCCCTACCCCCTTCGGCCATACCACCCAAAATAGAGAGAAGAAGTCTCCAACATCTCATTTCCATGTCCAAGAACCGAGCTCAAGAATTGAGGGGACTCAAAGAAGAAGAAAAGCTAGCATAAGTGAGGAAAAACTTGGAAAATCAAGGTAAGGACTTCATTATTATTTTTCCTCCTTCATTTTAATCTCATATGATTTTATAAATCATATGATAGACTTTTAAACTTGTTCTACACTTCTAGAGGTGTAGAATGAGGGTTTGAAAGACTAAGTTTAACCATGAACGGAGTTATAACCGGAGTAAGACCGGTTCACCGGAAAAACCTTCTTGGAAGGTTTTGACGTTTATACCACTTTTGGTTGTGAAACCTTGTTAGGAATTTTACCAAGGTATTCTGGACTTCTCAAGGAACCTAGGAGTGGCCGGAAAGTCGCCGGAGCCGCCGGAGGTTTCGCCGGAAAATTCAAAGGTCGCCGGAGTTCAAACAAAGGGGATAAAAACTCGCTAGCGTCATTTCAAGGTGAGTGGACGACTACGTGTCTTGTAACTCTTGGTTCAAACGTGGGATTACCTAAATAAAATCATAACCATGATTTGAGAAATGATGAAATGGATTAAAATGCATGATTAGTCATGGTGTATATGACTAATGAAAAAAATAGATTAATTTATTAATTAATCATTAGTGCGTAGTATATATTTCTTAATGCATAAGAGGATATACTTGAACCATGTATGAGATAAGCTCGAATAATCTAGTAAGTGAATATAAAAGGGTTGTAAAGTTGTGATTATCCATATTAAATATGGATTATGGAAGTATTATATGATAAATAAAAAAATAGATTAATCTATTAATTAATCATGAGTATATTTTTCTTAAATGAATAAGAAGGTATACTTGAACCGTGTATGTGATTAACTAGAGTTATCTAGTAAAGAAATATAAAAAGATATGTGATATGTGATTAGTCATATTAATTATGGATTATGGAAATATGGCATAATTAATGATTAATCAATTAATGGTATGAATAAAAGGTTGTAAGAAAGGATCATGAGCCATGATTTGGACTTGGGCATGAGATTACTCAAATAAAACAGAATGATATTCCATGAAATGTTAAATACATCTAAGAATGTATTAAGGAAAGATTTACTTATTAATAGTATTAATAAGTGTATTTAATATGCTTTAATTTGGACAGAAAATGATTATAAATTATGTGCTATGATTTGGACGTCCAAAATAATATTTTTGGACTAAGAATGACTTGTTGCATAAGCGTATAAAATTTCGTGGAAATCGGACCCCGTTTGGATGGTCAAACGGGCGTTGACCAAAATGTTGACCGGTTGCCCGGGGGGTAACCGGCGCCGGTTATAGGCAAAACCGGCGCCGGTTATGGTTCGGTTTACTCAAGAAAATCAGTAAACCGGCGCCGGTTATGGGTAAAACCGGCGCCGGTTATGTCTCGGCTTTCAGGACTGATTTTTGCTAAAAACCCAAATCGGACTCGGTTCGACGTGGGATTAATTCTGGCCATCCTATATATGAATATTTTGCATGGAATTGCATGAAATATGATGTTTAAAATGATAAGGCTTGGAATACAGTTTAAACGCTAAGACTTGGACTAGTCGTTAGTAAAGAAATTATAGACCACGACCAGGCGAGGTACGTGGTAGATTATACATGGCGGGTGAATACCCGGGACCAA